CTAAAACATCCTCAAATTGTGTTTGTCTAGTCCTTCCTTTTAAGAGTTGGACACCAAGGTACTTGATTGCCCCTAAAACATCCTCAAATTGTGTTTGTCTAGTCCTTTCTTTTAAGAGTTGGACACCAAGGTACTTGATTGCCAAGGTAGAGCTGCTGAATTGTGTATATTCCAGAACCCAATTTTTTTGCATAGTTGGGGTGTGTTGGTTGAAATAGATATTGTATTTGTCAGAGTTAAATGCTAAACCATAATGGCTTTGGAAGATCTATAAACACTTCATGACCTTCCTCACTACATTCTTGTTAGCACTAGAAAACACCATAATGTCATCTGCATAAACTAAATGAGAAATAGGCACTTTAGATTTGTGGTGATACCTGACATAGTTGAAGGGGAGTAGACTTCTGTTCAGCATTCTAGATAACTGATCAAGTGCCACTATAAAAAGAGTTGGAGATAAGGGGTCTCCTTATTTGAGTCCTGTAGATGCAGTGAAAGAGCCCCAAGATTGACCATTGATTAAAAGAGAATGAGAGTTATCTATGAGCCATATGTGGACGAGGTTGCAGAAATCAGCTTGAAAACCTCTAATAGTTAGGAATTCCAAGATAAACTTCCAGCAAATAGTGTCATAAGCTTTTTTTACATCCAATTTATACATCAGGTTACCATTTATGTAGGGTCTGTCCAGGTCCAACGTAAGTTCTTGAGCTAGGAGTACATTATCAGTGATAGATCTGCCTTGGACAAAGGCAGACTAGTTTTCAAAGAAAATATGGCTGAGATGGGGCTGAAGTCTGCCTACAATAATTTTACTAATAAGTTTACTGATGATAGAAGTAAGAATAATTAGCCTGAAATCATTCTAATTTTTATGAACAATAGATTTAGGGATGAGCACAATGCTGGTTGCATTAAATTAATATGGGATAGATGAACCTTGAAAAAAACTTTCAACAACAGTGATCACTTCATTTTTAATGATTTCCCATGCTTTCTTATAGAAATCACTTGTAAAACCATCAGGCCCAGCAGTTTTAGAACCCTCAATACCTTGAAGAGCTTGCAAAATTTCATTCTCTTTGGGAGGAGAAGTAAGATTTAGTTTGGAAATGTTATTTATCTCCTCAATAGAATAAAGATTTTCAATGGGAGATCTCTGGAGGTCTGGCTGAGTTAAAATTTGCTGGAAATGAGCAATAACATCAGTGGCAATGGAAGAATTATCAAAAATCCAATTTCCATTTGAATTGTGAATCTTATGAATTGTATTGTGTTGTCTCCTATATTTGATATAGGCATGGTAAAACTTAGTGTTCCTATCTCCCTCTTTGAAGTGACTGATTGAAGCTTTCTGACTAAGGAATTGCTCTTGTCTATCAATGGCAAGAAGAATATTTTCTTGTGCAGCCAGTAAGAGGTTCTCCTCCCCTCCATCTCTTAGAGTTAAGTTCTCCAAATCTATCACATCTTTTTCAACAGTTTCCACAGCTTTAAAAACATCTCCAAATGGCTTCCAACCTCAAGCTTTGAGAACTTTAGTAACCTTCACATGCAGAAAAACCAATTTAGCCTAGGGATCCAGCTTCAGATTAGAATGCCAACCACCTGCCACAGTACTGAGACAAGAAAGATGACCAGACCACATGTTGAGATATCTGAATGGAGAAGGAGATGTTGAAGGTTTTGAGGCGTCAATTGATATAAGAAGGGTCTATGATCAGATCTTGTAAGACTAAGATGAGTAACTACAGTGTACAAAAAATGCTAACACCAATAGTTATTAACTAAAATCCTATCAAGCCTTTACCATATAACACCCCTCTTCCAAGTGAATTCTTGTCCCTTATAACCAATGTCAAAAAACCAGCTTTTAAAATATTATCAGAAAATATATTCATCTTAGCAAGATTTGGAGGTCTCCCACTAGTCTTCTCTGCAGAATGGGTGATGCAGTTGAAATTTCCACCAACAAGCCAATAGGTATTCATGTTTTGACTAATAACATGTAGGGAAGCCCAAAGATCTCTCCTGTCATTTTTGGGGCTACCAACATACACAAAAGTTGTAAAACCAACATGCCCACTAGTGTTGAAAGAGAAGTGTACCAATTGAGAATGGTCAATCAGAACTTGCCAACTTATCTCTTGTCTACAGAGAATCCAGATTTTGTTGTTTTGGTTAGCAAAGTGAGAGAATCTAGTAAATTTTGAAAGGATCTATTGAGGGTGTTTGTGAACTAGAGGTTCTAATATAGCAACACACTAAAGTTTCTATTTTTTAGCAAAATCATTCTTTTCAAGGAAGAGGGTTGAGCAATACCCCTCACATTCTATCAAAGAAAATTGATCATGTTGAAGAGATTGGGTGAAGAGAAGGTTGAGATCTTGATCTAGTCCTTCCCCTATACAGTTGGATTGATGTCTTTGTAAGAGGAATCTGGGAGCATTCCTTCTTGTATTCTTCTGCCAAAATCCTCTTTTCTTCCACTATATGTTTCTTTTTCTTTTTTTCTTTTTGAACTTGCCAGTCGCTTTCCAATTCTTGATTCATTTCCACCATTAGATCTTCAGTTAGACCAAGGGTTCCCTTGGGGTGGCTGAGAGCACCCCCATATGTTTTTCAGAAAATGTGTTGGGTGGAGAAGGAACAACAGTGCTACATTCTCCCTCTTTAGTTTCTACAGGAAGTGTGGGAGTTGGGGTAGATTTGAATGGTTCTATGGGAAGTTTCTACTTATTGGAGAAGCTTCAATGACAGGATTAACTTGAGGTTGTGTTCCACAGAAGCTTCAGTTTCAACATACAAGTACAGTACTGTTAACACTTTTTTCATATTGGTAGGATGTAGCTTATAGCATCTGTCCATTGTATGTCCAAACATCCTGCAATGGTGGCAGTAATAAGATTTTTGTTCCATAACTATTTTCTGCCAATGCCCTTCATTTCTAGAACCAATCCAAATTTCTTCAACCTCAGGGAGGGTGATGTTCCTTTCTTTAAATATTCTTTCAACAGATGGTCTAGATAAATTATAAGTGGGAAAGTCCATCATCAATGATCTTCCCAAAGCAAGGCCAATGTTGAACATAACTTTATGGTTGAAAAAATGCTGTGAAAGTTCTAGAAATTTAAACCAAATAGGGACTATAGGGGGATCTTTGCTGGGATCAAATGTGGGTGTCCACTTCAGTATATTCATGGGATTCCTTCCAAGATTACTATTTTTATTTTCCAAATAATCTAGCATAATCCTCTTCTAAGGCCATTTTTATCATGATACGCCTACCATCTACCAGCCCCAACTGCCAAGCACTAGTAAATGGAAAGTTATCAAAGAATTTTCTCACTAATTCCATTTTGGGATGCCCAAGCTGAAATTTACCAATGAGAATAAATTTACAATCTGTTTTAAGGAAATTTAACTCTTCTTGATTTTATTAAAGGGCAGGCTTACCATCTTTGACCTCTAAGGGGTTAATAAGAAAGCAAGGTTCTTTACCCACAACAGCATCATGGAAAGATTGGGGAAAAACTAGAATTTTAGTATAGGTTCCATCCCTTTACCCACCACCAGAATAAGTTGCCTTGGTCTAAATAAAGTTAGATTCAGGATCAGTAAGAATGTAACCAGCCATGTACTTCTCAGCAAAGAAGCAAATAAGAGACTTAGGCACAAAACAAAAAAAGTGTCAAATAATGGAACAGTAAAGGTAGATTCAATGGAACAGTAAATTTCAAACACCAATAAGCCCGGGACGAAGCAAAACTCAGAAGAAACACGGGAAACAGAAAACCAAAGCTAAGTAAAAGAAGAAAACAACGAGAAGAGAGCAGCAACACCACTACAGTAAGGACTCCAACTAGCCATGTCGCAGAAACCCTAGCAGAGCACCTAGAGAGCCAGTCGGCATATAATTTAGAAAAAAATTAAAATTAATTTTTTTTAAAATACAAGACTGAACCGATCTTATATCTGCAATAGTTTAAATGATTGAGCACAATTTTAATTTTTCCTTACTTTTCTTACTTTGCAACGGCATGTTAGCACAATTTTTGGGGGTCCCGTGGAAGCTGTCGGTCACCGGAATCAGAATCCTGTTGCCCACTTTCGAGGGACATTTTAATTTACATACATACATACATACATACATACATACATAATAGCTAGACAATTAGCCGGTTTGTTTCCCTCCCTATAGTTAAAACAGTAGTTGACTTGTATCTCCTTGGTGATATGTTTTATCTTAAGAATCCACTGTTGGATATACATATAATATATATATATATATATATATATGAAATTAAACTGATCTCATATCTTTTATAGTTTAAATGAGAGAGAGCCACATCTTAAGCTGTGTATGCATCTCGAAAGATAGACACATGGCTTGATGTTGAGGCTCAATAAAATAAATGACATCTATTTGGTCTGCAAATTCATTTTATTATAAGCCGACAAGTTCCTTTATTTAATATGAAAATTTAAATAGGGTTTATATTAAGCTAGGTTTGGAAAAACTTCCTATAGGGCAAGTCCCTGTAGTTAATTAGATCTTAGATAACTGAAGTCACCTAAGAAAACTCTCGATAAGAATCAGGTGATGTTATCTTCAAGAAGTTCAAAGAATAAGACTTTTAAACAAGATCAGACAAATAGCTGTAAAATGGGAATGGCTCAAATTTGGAACAATTATTTTTAGAATCCAAAGGAAGAAGTACTAGGGGATGTCACAGATCCGGAGGAGAACCTCGATGACTTCCCAATCTACCCTATGGTTTGGTTTCATTTTAAAGGAGAAATATTTAAATGTTTCATCTTGCCAATTTTATTAATTAGGGCTTACATTTGTGGTACAATCACACAAATAGACTGAAAGATGTGAGAATTTTGATCATGACAAATGACAACCTCGGAATCCTAAAACAA